AATAAGATTTCCACAAAGTTTACATACTGTGTAACAGAATGAAACAATGGGGCGGTACAGTGATGCAGTGGTTCACACTGTTGCCCTTCGCCTCTTGGTTCGATGCGCTCCAGCTCTAAATGTGGAGTTTGCATGTTGCATGTGGAGTTTGCATGTTCTCCCCGTGTCATCATGGGGTTTCCTCCAGGTTCTCCGGTTTCCCCCCACAGTCCAAATACATGTTAAGGTGAATTGGAGCTGCCAAATTGTCCATAGGTGTGCATGTGTGTGTGAATGGTGTGTGTATACATGTACATGCCCTGTGATGGGTTGGTGCCCCATTCTGGGTTATTCCCAGCCTTGCACCCGTAGTTTCCAGGATAGGCTGTGGACCCCCACGACCCTGCATAGGACAAGTGAGTACAGAAAATGGATAGATGGATGGATGGATGGATGAGGGGAAGCAACAGCATCAATCAGAACCCACAGTAACCTGTTCGGTTTCTCCCTTCCACAGAAGACAAACCTGTCATCCTGGTGTTCATGCACTACTGTAATAACCCCAGTCACATAACCAACATCATAGTGCAACCGTCCAGGAGCAACATAGTGCAAGTCATCCACTGCGCCTTCCATGAAACTATAGGGCTGCTGGAATGTCAGGAAAATGAGCAGGCGGTCAACACCGTGCAGTCAGCACTGCTGAGGTACAAGTGAAGAAACAGACCCTCTGCAGGGGAAGCGGCTATTAACACAAATACTGTGCACACACTCAGGATATTAATAGTTTAATCAAGCAAACCATGTGATTATTCCACTGTCGAGTTGAACTGTGTATGCAGATACTCCCACCATATATGAAAGATATAAAAAGCAGATATTTATAGATATGTGAGATATAAAAACACTAATAAAAAGTAGCAAATTACAAATTTTACATCAGCAGTATTTTTCTGGAGAAAATCTAACAAGGACACTGTTGTGTATGTGACAAACATTGAACAGAAAAACTGAATGGAGGTAACGTAATTATTTTGCCATTTATATACATTATACCCTTATATACAGTATGTATCTATATGTTTATTTGTATACTGTGTATAACATGCCCCCAAGGGTGTTATAAAGGTGGGGGGGGGGGGTTTAATGATTCCAAGGGGTCCTTGGTGACAGGGGTCATAATGATTTTGGAACATAATTAGTTTGGCCTGGCTTGAGGGTTCAGTATGATATGCTGTCATTGGACCCACAGTCTTAGTCAGCACCACTGCATGCCCCTATATGTTGATCTAGCTAGCTGTAAATTTTAAAGATCAAAAAGAATGTCAGGAGATGTGTATGTAATAAAATACTGGTACATAATGTATTTCAATGCACATTTTTGCAGACTCTGCAGGTGTGTTGATGTACAAGCTGAGGTCCCTCTCACCCAGTCGGAGATTAAGCAGCAGCCTGTGGCAGCTCAGAATGCCAATAGGCCAATCATGACCAATGAGGTACCAAGGACGGGTACCAAGCCAATGACAGAGGAGAGGGAATCTGATCAAAGGACGATTGTACCAGCAAAGGGACATTCCACTGGCCCCTCTGGAGGTAAAGGGTGTCTTGGGGCCTGAGTGAACTGTACATGAATGCAGACACTGGCCTCTCCAGTCAGTGAGCAGGTGGCCATGAGCACAAGGTGTACAGAGATAGATATTCCAGGTAATGGTGTCATTATCTTCTATATTCACCTTATTTCACCATGCAACCTTTCAAGAGTTTGTTTCTCTCACTTTTGTGTTTGAACTTCCATGACCTTGGTCATGAAACTCAGGGTAAGAAGTTTCTGCTTAACAAAACCAAACAAATGCGATCTGAGATAATTGTTATCACAATGCTGACTATCACTAATTTATGTCAAGCCAGGATTTCTTGACGAAGTCAAGATTACTTCTTTAACATATGCACTTAAAAATGTGCTGTATGCAACAATCAGCTGATCACATAAGCATGGATCAGAAATATATCACTATACTGAAATATGTATTTTAAAATTTGTTTTGTGTAAAATCATATCCACAAAAATAATGATTTGTACACATGAAATGGGTTTTGCACATTTGTGGATCATTTCTTGTCTATTTGTGGATCATGTTACATTTGTGACATCGCTCCTTTTTATTTGCAAAATTTTGTCAAATTCCTATTGCAGCTGATCTGTAGAAAACATCCACAAATATGAGGTGCAGTCATGATATATATTGTTATCGGGATATGAGATGACTTATACACAGTATAATACACAGTAAAACTTTACCACGGTCACAGAATTTCGAGAGTTTGGGGAAGCCTATTTGTCACAAGAGCTAATGTACCAACTTCTCTTTGATTGGTTCCCCACTAAGGTGTCTTGTTATATAGAATTTTAGGATGAGGTGCAGGCATATGGAATGGAGATTTCTGCATAGTTTATAGCTGTCCAGAGTTATACAGAGTTAATAGCTACCAATCAGCCAATCAGAAAATAGCATTTGTTGTTTCTGGGTAAATTCCAAAACAAGTTACATGTGATCTCGCTGCAAGCACATTATTACATGGATGCACGCACACATGGAGCGCAGACAAGGTGGAACTGGAAGAGCAAGATCCGATGAATGCGGTAGGCAGGGCTCTCAAGTCTCATTCATTGACCATGAGATACACGCTCCACCCCTAAAAGACGTAATCTCACTCCAAACTTTTGATGAAACTTAAGAGCCCAGGTCCAAGCACTGTTTGAGATCCACGATCTTGAAACAGAATCTGCTCTGAGCAGGTTTTGGCATGTAGTATGAGTTATCATGGTGATGTGTCCTGCTAAGAAGAGACCCAACGTTGTGTTATCGAAAAGTCATAGTTACCACTACTTATCCTCAAAGTTGTCTGGCTAAGAAAGGAATCTGGCTTCATGACACCGGCCCCAGTTGTCACACTGGAAGTTACAACACAGTGTAAACAAAGATGGCCCCTCCCTTCTTGCCATGGAAAATAAGGTGAATACATTTACTCTCAAAACATGCTAGTGTGACCCAGGGGCGTTGCTAGAGATTTTGGGCCCCATGAAAGCATATCATATTAGGCCCCCCAGTCCAAACCAATCCAGTTATTTTCCTCATTTTTTAGGGCCCCTGTCACTCAGGGGCCCTTGGAATCGTCCTAGCTTTCCTCCCCCTTACGGCGCCCCTGGTGTGACCACATTATTCTCCATTGCTTCCAGTGTGATTGTGTAAACTAATTGTTAGCTTTACTGCAACTTATTGAAGATGGTGAATATTTTACAGGAACTTCATTTTTGTCTAAGACTGGACGATTCTTCTCAAAGTCAAACTGGAATATCTCTTCAGGTCAGCTTTTCAATACAGTACTTCTCTACTTTGAAATCTACTGTCCATAATGATTAGTCAGACCCTGTACACTATGACTGACTCAAGATGTCAAATATTTTACAGAAACTTTAATGTTTCCTTTCTCACGCTCAAACCCAAACCATAATAAGCTGAATAGCTCCTCTTTGGGTGAGCTGTTCAGTGCTTCTAAAGTTTAACATGTACCCTCTGAAATGATTCACTTTCTGTCAAAACTCAACAATAGTATAATTACTGCCCCCAAGCACTGCTCCCCGGGTGCTGAGTTAGCTGCCCCCTGCTATGTCACGTTGTCACATACAGTATAGGTTAAATGCAGAGGACACATTTCGTTGTTGTGCTGTGGTGTGTCAACACTGATCTCTAAATCTCATACAGTTTTCATGTATGCTTCCTGTTCACAAAAATTGTAACTCATTTTTAAATTCCATCTCTCTTTCGCAGTGAAAGTCCATGTGCTGGTTGTTGGAGAAACTTTTGGTACTCATGGAACCTTCATGCAAAAGCTGAAGCTGCGGATAGACCAAGACTGCAGTGCAGAGAGCAGCAGCGTCATCCTGGTCTTCTGTCCTGTTGTTTCTCAGATTAGGACAGACATGGAGGCAGCAATGGCCAGAGTTACAGGTGAGACAGGATTCAGTCTCTGCCCTATGTCACCTTTGCCATGAAATCCAACAAAGACACAGCAAACAGGGATTATGTAGTTAATCTCCTCACAGAGGAAGATGTGATTTATTTAACAGAAACTGCCCATGAGAAATTGTCCTGTTTTGTAGGATGAGCAAACCATCTTGGTTTGCTCATATACTTGGTCCTCACAAGTATAGCAAAACATACACATTCACGATTTTTGGTTAATCACGGGTTATTTTGTTTTGACTGACAGATAATCTGGTAGACACAATTAATTAATAAAAATAATTTATTTTTAAATAAGATTTCCACAAAGTTTACATACTGTGTAACAGAATTAAACAATGGGGCGGTACAGTGATGCAGTGGTTCACACTGTTGCCCTTCACCTCTTGGTTCGATGCGCTCCAGCTCTAAATGTGGAGTTTGCATGTTGCATGTGGAGTTTGCATGTTCTCCCCGTGTCATCATGGGGTTTCCTCCAGGTTCTCCAGTTTCCCCCCACAGTCCAAATACATGTTAATATGAATTGGAGCTGCCAAATTGTCCATAGGCGTGCATGTGTGTGTGAATGGTGTGTGTATACCTGCCCTGTGATTGGTTGGTGCCCCATTCTGGGTTATTCCCTGCCTTGCACCTGTAGCTTCCAGGATAGGCTGTGGACCCCCACGACCCTGCATAGGACAAGTGGGTACAGGAAATGGATGGATGAGGGGAAGCAACAGCATCAATCAGTGCCCACAGTAACCTGTTTGGTTTCTCCCTTCCACAGAAGACAAACCTGTCATCCTGGTGTTCATGCACTACTGTAACAACCCCAGTCACATAACCAACATCATAGTGCAACCGTCCAGGAGCAACATAGTGCAAGTCGTCCACTGTGCCTTCCATGAATATATAGGGCTGCTGGAATGCAAGGAAAATGAGCAGGCGGTCAATGCAGTGCACTCAACACTGCTGAGGTACAAGTGAAGAAACAGACCCTCTGCAGGGGAAACGTGTATTAGCACAAATACTGTGCACACATCCAGGATATTAATCAGATTAAGCAATTATCCTCAGAATTGGTAATCAAACTTTGTGATTATTCTGCTGTGGAGTTAAACTATGCAGGATATTTCCGACTAAGAATCACCCACCAAATATAAAAACATTAAATAATAACCCAACAAATTACAAATTTTACAGATCAACAGTAACTATCAAGAGAATTTCTAACATCTTAACTGTATTGCATGTGATTGAAAAAATAAACAGAAAAAAATTCATGACTAATTTATTTTAAAAGTAACAAATTAATTTGTCTTTTATATTTTATGCTTTGTGTATAAGGCCTCATTGGAAGTCTAAGGCATATAATGGGACACCCCCCAACCCCCCACTATATTAATTGGTTTCATGTTATTTTACTTTATATTCTTTTCATGTACTAATTGGCTGCATTTTATTTTATGGAGCAGGTGAGATTTATATTGTTATCCATTGTATTTTTTTATTATTTCAGTTTCTTGTTTAGCCGATGCTAACTGACATCTGGGTCCTGTCGGAGGACAGATGTGCGGTTTTTGGATTAATGAATGCGCAGGAGAGAGCTGGCGGTGTGTGTGATGGTTGGAGTAATACAACAATAAAGCCTTTTATTTGTTTTAAATCTATACGCGCCTGGATATTCTGTTATTTTTTTTAACCCCAGTGCATAACAAATTTGGTGGCAGTGGTGGGATCTGTAACGCCACAACCTGCTGATGGGGGGCTGAGCTCGCCGAGTTCGACTTCCCTCTCCGTTACTGTCCAGGCAGGATGCTGAAGGCTTGTCATGTATGCCACTGGACATGGAGCAGCACATGTGCTTGTGCTCACAGGAAACCCAGCCGGAGGTGATTGCTACAGTCACACAGTCAATCTGGTTAGAGTCCCAAGAGCAGGTCCCCTGGATGCCCAATCACAGTTGGCCCTATTGCCACAGCCTGTGCAGAGGTGGATAGTATCACCTGTAATGTGAGTGTCCACTGAAGAACTACGGTAACCTCAACACAGCCCAGAAGATCACTGGCTCTCAGTTTCCTGCCCTGGGGGAACTCTTCAGAACCTGCTGTAGCCGCAAAGCCAAGAAGATCTGCAGTGATCCAACCAACCTAACACAACTTCTTCACACTTCTGCCCTCCAATTAGCACATTAGAGCCCTATATGCTTGCATGGCAAGGCTGTAGAAAAGTTTCTACCCCCAAGCAGTCACACGGATAAACTCCTTGGCCCACCCCCACTCACAGTAGCACCAAACTGAGCTGCACTTTGACTTATCCACACCACAAGCATCAGGCACTACACATGCAGAAACATGCACCTTAACTGTTTTGGGCTCCACCCACGTTGACTGTATGTCAATGTTGCTATCTCACTTATCTCAGTACCTATACTGCATTCCATGTTATCCATTATACCGTACAATATTGCTGTTTGTGATCATTTCCTGCACTCTCAACTGAGGCTTTTCTCAGGTGCAATAATTTATCTCCTGTGCAATAATTCATGTGCAATATTCCCCCTATACTTTTACACTGGATATACTTTTATACTGTAATTGCTACAGTATGTATCTATTTATTTATTTCCTCCTTAAACTTTCTTTAGCTTGTATAGTCTTTACCGTGGTCTCTATAGAAGGATCCAAACATCATCTTGTTGTTCTCGTACAGTGACAATGAAGATATCTAATCTCATACAACTTCGGAACTGAAAAACCCACTTTTTAAACATATTTTGACTGTACATTTACCCAAGCATTCGTATTCTAGTTTTCTTAAAACTTTTGTATGGGGGAAAGTGTTAATATTCATTGCTGATATATAAAAAATGTTACTCCCTCAGTCAGTTTATGCATATAGATTTTCAAATTAGCAATATATTCACACTGTATGGCAAAATTACTGCCAGTAATAGCACGGACAAAATCATTCGCACATCAGCGGTGGAAGTAGACAGGTGATATTATCTTCCACTTCTTGTAACTGGGGGATCAGTCATGCATATTACTTCCGGAAGAGGTACTAACATGCATGGCAGTACCCAGCATGTACTGTATCCTCCCATTGGCCAGTAAGATGACCGCGCCTCTTCACGAGGCAGGAGTCTGGTCTGACACGTGACACCCAAGCCGTTGTTTAGGACCTTTCACCAATTAGCTTTCGGTTTTAGTTATACAGTGGAATCTGGGCGATATGAAAATCGTCTCAATTGAAGCATAAGGGAACAAGGAAACATTTGTTCTTCTATTTCTTGCGTCGAGAGAAAAATCAAATAAAACACAATAATCATGGACTATCGGGTAAGCAATATATATACAGTATATATATATATATATATATATATATATAGAGAGAGAGAGAGAGAGAGAGAGAGCGAGAGAGAGAGAGACACACACACATATCCATGTTAGGCTNGTCGAGAGAAAAATCAAATAAAACACAATAATCATGGACTATCGGGTAAGCAATATATATACAGTATATATATATATATATATATATATATATATAGAGAGAGAGAGAGAGAGAGAGAGAGCGAGAGAGAGAGAGACACACACACATATCCATGTTAGGCTTCTGTAAATCAACAGTGCAGATTTACCGTTTTAATCATTTTTGTTACGTGAACTTAAATGTCATTAAATAGTGACGGGTTATACGTAAAGCAGTGTAAAATGCACATGGTTTGAAGTTACGCACTAATAATATACAGAAACACTCAGCCGTCTATATTTTATTCTAAAAAGTACCTTTATTGTGTCGCGACAATTTGAACAACTAAAAGCTATGAAAACTTTACCATATAACCGTGGATCGTGGCGAATGGTTTCACTTTCAATTTAACAGATGGCTGTGCAGAATCTGTTTGAACTCCTCAAATTCATTTCTGAAGAAGCTGAGAAAATACTACGTGGTAAGTCTGAAGCGGGATATAATGGGCTGCAGACTGGTTGTCTGTTTAGACCGAATTTAAAAACACGGACACACAGGGAAACTATTCTTTATGGTCAGCAGGGGGTGGGGTAGAGACAGGAAATGTACTTGGGACCAGAGGGTTCCATCTTTCTCGCTATTGTGTCCTTTCTACTTACTTGGTAAGCATTCTGCTGTACATAAAACGCTCAACGCTAAAATCTCAATAAGAGTCTGCTAAGGGGTGTATAATACTTTCTGTTTGCAGCAGAATATGCCCATGTGAATGGCCCGTGTAACAGACTGGCATCCTGCCCATTGAGTTTCCTGCCTTGTCCCTCAGTCTTCCTGCAGTATCCATTGCTTAAGCAGTCGTACTGGATGGTTGATGGATGAAATTTGTGACAATTCCATTGCTATTAATGCTGTCTGGTATTAAACCAGCTACAGAGATACATATGTTGTGTTTTTGAACTGCGGATTATATTTTTTTATGGAACCACGGTTTCCCTTGTCTGGACGTGGGTCACCGGGGCCCCCCCCTGGAGCCAGGCCTGGGGGTGGGGCTCGATGGCGAGC